AAGAGAGAAAGTGAAATTGCTTCTGTTTGCAAATGACATGATTGTATATTTAGAAGACCCCATCATCTCCACCCAGAAATCTCCTTAAGATAATAAGCAACTTCAGCAAAGTCTCAGGATACAAAATCAATGTACAAAAATCACAAATACTCATATATACCAATAAGAGATCAACAGAGAGCCAAATCATGAGTGAGCTCCCATTCACAAGTGCTACAAAGAGAATAAAATACCTAGGAATACAACTCACAAGGGATGTTAAGGACCTCTTCAAGGAGAACTATAAACCATTGCTCAAGGAAATAAGAGAGGACACAAACAAATGGAAAAACATTCCATGCTCATGGATAGGAAGAATCAATATTGTGAAAATGGCCATACTGCCCAAAGTAATTTATAGATTCAATGCTGTCCCCATCAAGCTACCATTGACTTTCTTCACAGAATTAGAAAAAACTACTTTAAATTTCATAGGGAACCAAAAAAGAGTCCATATAGCCAAGACAATCCAAAGCAGAAAGAACAAACCTGGAGGCATCACACTACCTGACTTCAAACTATGCTACACTGCTACAGTAACCAAAACAGCATGGTACTGATACCAAAACAGATGTGTAGACAATGGAACAGAACAGAGGCCTCAAAAGTAACGCCACACTTCTACAACCATCTGATCTTTGACAAACCTGACAGAAGCAAGCAATGGGGAAAGGATTCCCTATTTAATAAATGGTGTTGGGAAAAATGGCTAGCCATATTCAGAAAACTGAAACTGGACTCCTTCCTTATACCTTATACAAAAACTAAGATGGATTAAAGACTTAAATGTAAGACCTAAAACCATAAAAACCCTAGAAGAAAACCTAGGCAGTACCATTCAGAACATAGGCATAGGCAAAGACTTCATAATTAAAACACCAAAAGCAATGACAACAAAACCCATCCCAAAATAGACAAATGGGATCCAATTAAACCAAAGAGCTTCTGCACAGCAAAAGAAACAGTAGTCAGAGCGAACAAACACCCCACAGAATGAGAGAAGATTTTTGCAATCTATCCATCTGACAAAGGGCTAATACCTAGAATCAACAAGTAACTTAAACAAATTTACAAGAAAAAAAACAACCCCATCAAAAAGTAGATGAAAGATATGAACAGACACTTCTCAAAAGAAGACATATATGCAGCCAACAAACATATAATTATATATATATAAAGCTCATCATCACTGGTCATTAGAGAAATGCAAATCAAAACCACAATGAGATACCATCTAATGCCAGTTAGAATGGAGATCATTATAAAGTCAGGAAACAACAGATACTGGAGAGGATGTGGAGAAATAGGAATGCTTTTACACTGTTGATGGGAGTGTAAATTAGTTCCACCATTATGGAAGACAATGTGGCGATTTCTCAAGGAACTAGAACCAGAAATAACATTTGACCCAGTAATCCCATTACTGGATATGTACCCAAAGGATTATAAATCGTTCTACTATAAAGACACATGCACACGTATATTTATTGTGGCACTGTTCACAATAGCAAAGACTTGGAACCAACCCAAATGCCCATCAGTGATAGGCTGGATAAAGAAAATGTGGCACATATACACCATGGAATACTATGCAGCCCTAAAAGTGGATGAGTTTCTGTCCTTTGCAGGGACATGGATGAAGCTGGAAACCATCATTCTCAGCAAATTAACATGGGAACCGAAAACCAAACACTGCATGTTCTCACTCATAAGTGGAAGTTGAACAATGAGAGCATATGGACACAGGGAGGGGAGCATCACACACCAGGGCCTGTCATGGGGTGGGAGTCAAGGGTGGGGATAGAATTAGGAGAAATACCTAATGTAGATGACAGGTTGATGGGTGCAGCAAACCATCATGGCATGTGTATACCTATGTAACCTGTAGATTCTGCACTTGTATCCCAGACTTTAAAGTATAATTTTAAAATAATAATAATTTAAAACAATAGTTGGATAAGGTGCTCAAATTACCCAATTAGGTGATAAGAAATCAAGTAACTGGTAGTCTTTTAAGAGTTACATGTCTGCGTGCTCACTTCAGCAGCACATACACACACAAAAAAAAGAGTTACGTGTCTGCACTGCATATTCTCGTAAGTGGGTGTTGAACAATGAGAACACATGGACACAGGGAGGAGAACATCACATAGCAGGGTCTTTTGGGGGCTTGGGAGACAAGGTGAGGGATAGCAGGGGGACAGCGTTGGGGAGGGATAACATTAGGAGAAATACCTAATGTAGATGATGGGGGGATAGATGCAGCAAACCACCATGGCATGTGTATACCTATGTCACAATCCTACACAATGTGCACATGTATCCCAGAACTTTAGGTATAATAAGAAAGAGAGAGAGAGAGAGAGAGAGAGAGAGAGAGAGAGAGAGAGAGAAGAAAAAAGAAAAAGGAAAGGAAGAAAGGAGAGAAAGAATGAAAGAGAAAGAAAAAGCAGGCACAAAAGAGTACATATTTTTGTGCCTGATTCCATTACATGAACTTCAAGACTAAGAAACATTAATGTATGGTGTTGAAAGGCAGGATGAAGGGAGGTAGCTGGGGCATGGGGAGGTTTTGGGGGTAAAAGGTGGTGGCAGTGTTTTCTGGTTCTGGGGGGTGGCTGCGTGTGTGTTCATGTCATGAAAGTTCATATGCATTTGTGCAATTGCCTGTAAATATGTCATACTCCAATAACATTAAAAATATGAAAAATAAAAATATAAAGCCCATATGGCAAAGAAAAAAAGAGATACATGTCTGCATGATTGTATTTTTAAAATATATTAATTCTCTAGAAAGTTTATTCTAAAAATGTATCACGTGGCCAGGCATGGTGGCTCATGCCTGTAATCCCAGCACTTGGGGAAACTGAGGCAAGCAGATTGCTTGATCCCAAGAGTTCAAGACCAGCCTGGGCAACATAGTGAGACCCTCTCTTAAAAAAAAAAAAAATTATGTGACGATGACCTCTGGAAAATCCTCCAATCTGGCACAGCAGTATTCTAAGAGATTCCAGTTGTGAGAAATCTGCCCTGGATTTATTTTTTCTGGTGATTAGCTTTAGGTAAATGTCAGTAAATGAGTGGAAGGTACTTTAGCAGTCAAGGAATTAGCCTTAACTATATATATATATATATATATATATATATATATATATATATATGTAGTTATTTTTCTAATTAGTAGAATATTGACATGTAAAATTTAAAGATGGAGAATGTACTTTACAGGACCTGGAAAAAGACAATTAATATATTAGCAACTAGAATGAAAACCTAAAATTCTGTAGTAATGAAAAGCTAACAGTCTTTCTAAATTAATACAAAATTATTCAAATAAGTTTCTTCCAGTTCCCCATTTACCATGAGTATAGTAAATTCTCTACTAGATTGCCTTTTTTATGTGTGGTGGTGGTAAAAAATACATACGTTTACCCTTTTAACAACTTTTAAGTGTGTATTACAGTATCGTTAACTATGTGTACATTGTTGTGCAAGAGATCTCCAGAACTTTTTCATTTTGTGTGACTAAAACTCTGTACTCATTCAGTTTCCCCATTTCCCCTTCCTCAACCCCAGCAGTCACCATGCTATTATAGTTTATGTTTCTATGAGTTTAACTACTTTAGATAATCCATATAAGTGAATCATGCAGTGTTTGTCTTTTTGTGATTGGCTTATTTTACCTAGCATAATGTCCTCAAGGTTCATCTGTGTTGTAACATATGGCAAGATTTTTTTTAAGGCTGAATAGTATTTCTTTGTATTTATGTATCACATTTTCTTTATCAATTCATCTGTCGATGGACATTTAGGTTGCTTCCACATCTAGGCTATCGTGACTAATGCTGCAGTGAATATAAGTTTCTGAATATCTCTTTGATACTCTATTATCAGTTTTTTGGGATAAATACCCAGAAGTGGGATGACTGGATCATATGGTAGTTCTATTTTTAATATTTTGAGCAATCTCTATACTGTGTTCTGTAGTGGCTGTACCATTTTACATTCCTGCCAGCAGTTCACAAGGGTTTCAATTTCTCCACATGCTCACCAACACTTGTTTTCTGTTTTTTTGATAGTGGCCATCCTAATGAATATAAGATGATATCTCACTATGGTTTTGAGTTCCCTGATGACTATTGACGTTGAGCATCTTTTCATACAACAAGCATGCCTGTTGGCCACTTCTGTATCTTTTTTGTTAGAAATATTACTTTACTCATTTTTTATTCAGATTGTTTGTTTTTATATTATGAGTTGCAGGCATTCTTTAATATTCGGAATATTTACTCCTTATCCAGTAAATGTTTTGCAAATACTTTTCCCATTTTCTAGGTTGCCTCCGCAAGGTTGCCTTTTAAAAGTCCAGGACTGTTATTTTACAGCCTTAACTTAAATCTGACTCTGGTAATTCACATCAACCCCTGCTTGATTCTCACCTAATTCCTAACTCTAGACTTAAATTTTGACTACCCTCCCTTCCCACATCATGTTAGCTATAATAACTTTACTGTTAACCCTGATTTTCATTCCCTATGACCTCTTCTTTGCTAATATTTTAATAAGTGGTGATTTTAAAATAAGGCATATATTTGGCAAAAGCCAGGAAAAAATTATAATCTCTGTATTAATGTTAAACGTAAAATCTAAAGCAGAAGTTAAAATCTGCTTTATGAGAAATAAGTTCTTATATTAAAATATCTAAATTTGAAAGTAGTCCCTTTGAAGGAATAAGGGAGGCATGCTACTTTGAATCAATACATTTGGTGAGTGTGTAGGAACAGTCACAGTTGTCATGTGTGTCCCAAAGTCTTATACCTCTTTTTGGCCCACTAATCAAACTAGAAATGTCACATGAAACTTGTTGAGTGAACTAGTAACTTCACATTTGCTAAAATAGAGCTAAAATAAGTTCCTGAATGTTCTGATTGACCACACATAATGTAGAGTTTATTTCCTAGCAAATAATGAAAGATCGATGGATGAATGTTGGTCATGAAGAAGAAGAACTAAAGCCATATACTGAGCCTGACCCAGATTTCAATGACATAAAAAGAATAGGTAAGTGTTTAAACGTGGTAAGAAGTGCTCTCCCTAGTCAACAAATAAGAGTCCTTTAGTGTACAAAAATAGGGTTTAAAAGTGTAAATAGAAAGCAATTTTTACTTGAAAAATACTTGCATTATCATTTTAATGATAATACACTAAAAATTCTACATTTCAAGTTCCCTAATTTGTTCTGATATATATTATGGTCCAATTCAATGTTTGACGACAGTGATATAAAACTTAACATAAATGTACTGAATTCTTTCCTGTCAGTGATGCCCAGCAGGAGGAATGGCTGATGTAACTATCAGCACTGATCAGACTGATAAGTATCAGCAAATATAGCATTTATTTTAACCAAAACTGTAGAGGCACTGAATTGAGAGTTGAACACTTTGGCTCTCCCTTTCTTTTTCCACTGTCTTAGCAACGTTTATTCTCCCTCCTCACTTGTCCTGCTACTGCCCATACCTAGCCAGAGCGCTCCTTCTAACTTGTTCTCTTCATTTCTCAATCCCTTCCCAAAGCCATTATTTAGTCTCAAGCTGAGTCATCTCAACTGTGTTTTTATCTGGCTTGAGGGCAGTCTGGCAAGGGAGAGCATTTTAGGGTGTTAGGAACCTGATCAGAAAAACCATAGAAATTCAAATCTCCCGAAGAAGAGTCAACCTACTGTAAATCAGAAAGCAGAAATTGTTAAGAAATGAGAGAAACCACTTCACAAGTAGCTGAAGATGAGTTGAGAGAAAGAGAATTTTGTGTAACATTTTGAGAAAAACGTGGTCTCAGACTGGACAAAGAAAGCTCAGGAATTTATTAGGCAAGGAGAAATTAAGTGGGCCCATTAATATATTACCCATGATGTAGATAATTTCTGCATGTAAAATTATCATTGTACAATATCTGTGAACATATGGTATCTTAGGCTAATAGTCCAGAAGTTTTTAAAACTACACTTTAAATTTTCATGACTTAGTTTTCATATTCAAAATTGGCAGACTTGCCTGTTTTTGTTGATTTGTTAACTAAACCCATTTTCAGAACATCTCTCTTTTTTAAATTTCTAGATATTATGGTTACTATGGGCTTTGCACGAGATGAAATAAATGATGCCTTAATAAATCAGAAGTATGATGAAGTTATGGCTACTTATATTCTTCTAGGTAGAAAACCACCTGAAGTAAGTTTCTCACCTTTTCAGATAACTGTGGATTATTTCTTGAGCTAATATGTTAGTAATCCTTTGTGGTATCAAAAATAATATAAAGATCCTATCCTAACATTCTTATTTATTGGAATTTAAAAATCAAGATGCTAAATTATGAAGTGATTTTATTTCTGGGTACCAAAGAGATTTTGTGAAAGAACAGGCCTACTGTCTTTCTTAGCTCCAAGAGGCACCATTCACAACCTGGTCTTCGAGAATGGTCTCCCCCACAGCTTGTGCATCCAAATGCAACAGCCCCACCAAAGGTAATATGGTTATTTTAGGTGTGCAGAAAAGTCAATGACTGGAACATGAGGAAGTGATAGCTTTTGAAATAAAATGTATGTCTTAAATGATTTTTAAAAGAGGTAACTCTGGGAAAGGTTATTTGGTGACATTTTGCCTTATAAAGTGTCAAGTGACTGATGCTTTCAACTGGGAATTCTCAAGGCCAGGAGAACTATCATAAGGAGATAGATTCAGCAAATAACCGTATACAAATGGTGAACTATGTTAGGTAGTTTTGCATTGCTATAAAGAGGTACCTGAGACTGGATAATTTATAAAGAAAGTTTATTTGACTCACAGTTCTGCAGGCATGATGCTGGCATCTGCATGGTGTTGGCATCTGCTTCTGGTAAAGGCCTCAGGAAGCTTACAGACATGATGGAAAGTGAGGGGAAGCCAGCATGTCACATGGCAAGAGGGAGCAGGTGAGAGGTAGGGGAGGTGCCATGCTCTTTTTAGTAACCAGATCTAGCATGAACCCATAGAAGGAGAACTGATTACCTCGAGCTGGTTCCAAAGTTCAGACTGTTACTGGTCTAAGCTACCGCACCCCCTCCCTACCCCAGCACAACCACTAACTATGCAACTAAGGCAATTAATTTTCTGTGCCTCGGTTTTCTTATCTATAAAATGAGGGCAATAATAGTACTTATCTTTTAGGATCATTGGAAGTGTTAAATGAGTACTTATAAAGTCCTTGGAACAGTTTCTTGTGGATTACTATGTACTCTGCATTAGGCTGTTATTATCATCAGTATTACTCTGCTATTTATCATTAGTATTATCTATATATGAATTTAGATTTCCTATTGATGCCAGTGATTCCATCAAAGGTTTGCTGGCAGCAAACAAGTTTTATATTATAGAGAGAGGAATAGTGCATCAATCCAGAGTTTACTATGCTGAGTTCTAAGTGGATATAATTTCCTGATCAGAAACAATAAACCAAATTTTTTTTTTTGCAAATGTGGAGAAAACAAAACAAACAAATCTATGTTTATGTTTATATGCATACATATGTATATATACATGTGTATATATTTAAAATTTTAGATTTTATTGTAAGTTTAAATCTCAGTGATGCCCCTAACTTTCTTAACCTCAGTTTTTCCATCTATAAAGTGTAGGTTAATACATCATAGGTGTGTTGTGATGATTAAATAAAGTAACATATAGAAAGAGTACAGTGCCTAGTCTATAATTACCATTCAATAATTGGATGCTCTTATTTGGTGTTCTGACTAAACTTAAGGATTTGTACAAACTAATAGAAGATTATGAGTAGTCACCAATGCATATTCTATCCAGTTCACTTCTTTCCTGCTTGCCAACTTAAAGTTCTAGGCCCAATACTACACTGTTTTTTAAATTTGGATTACTTCTTGTAGAGCTTTAAATCATTTAGAAAATAAAGAGTGCAGTGTTTGTACAAACTTTTTTTTTTGCTTTAAAATCCTCGTGGTTTTTCTTCTTACAGTTTGAAGGTGGTGAATCATTATCCAGTGGAAACTTGTGCCAGAGATCCCGGCCCAGTAGTGACTTAAACAACAGCACTCTTCAGTCCCCTGCTCACCTGAAGGTCCAGAGAAGCATCTCAGCAAATCAGAAGCAGCGGCGTTTCAGTGATCATGGTGGGGAAAAAAGTCACATAAGTGAAACAACACACGGGTTCTACCCAAACTTGTGTTTTTAAAGCATTGTACATTCATGTTTATGTGCTTCTGTCATCTAGTTCTCACAGACGTGTTTATAAAAATAATCCCTGTTGCAGGGACTGACCTGATTTTTGAAATCAAAGTTTAATCTTTCTTCAGAATTTAAAACATGGAAATGTAGATAATTTTAATATAGAGTTTTTGTTTGTAAGCAGAAAATAGATCAGTTGTTTTTCAGCTCATTATGCTATTTTTAAAAAAATTATAGCTGGTCCATCCATTCCTCCTGCTGTATCATATACCAAAAGAGCTCAGGCTAACAGCGTGGAAAGTGAACAGAAAGAGGAGTGGGACAAAGACGTGGCCCGAAAACTTGGCAGCACGACAGTTGGCTCAAAAAGCGAGATGACTGCAAGCCCTCTTGTAGGGCCAGAGAGGAAAAAATCTTCAGCTATTACAAGTGTGAGTAAATACTCTGGTACATTGCAATTAATTGTAATATCTTGTTTCAGCGTTATATATAAACTCTTTATCTTTTTTTTTTTAATGATTGAAAAGGAATTATAATTTAAAGAACATGCAGAAGGGACCACACTTCTCATAAATGCAATTTAAGAACAACAACAACAAAAAAAGAATTCTTTTTTTGCGTGTAAACACTTAACTTCAACTTCGAATGCTGCTTCATTTTAAACTTTTTAAACTTTCCTGCTTCATTTTCCTTTTTATAATGTTTACTTAGAATTATATTGGCACATTTCATTTTTATTTACAAATATGCTGTTTAACGAAGGCAGACTCAATTAAATAATTAATTTATAAAGTTGCCTCACATTATTCACTTAAAACAGCAAACTATGTAAATTATATAATGAATGGGAACTAGAAGAGGGTTTGAGCTGCTCTCTCATAAGGCAGCAAGAAAGAATACAGATAGAAAATATAAAAGAAAATTAAGATATGTGAAAGGATAACATTCAGATTTAAGTGTTTTTGAAAGGAAAGGGAGCAAAATGAAGGGGGAGAAATCGTTAAAGAAATAATAAGAAAAAATAAAAGAGGGAAGATTTCATATTGAAAGGACCCAGAGTGGCAAATAGAAGCCAGGAAGAAAACCTACTCCTGGGCTTTTAAAGTGGAATTTATAGATACCAAAAACAAAGTGAGAATGTTTTAAAGACTCCAGAGTCAGAGAGCAGACAAACTTAAAAGGAACAAGATTCAGATTGACATCAGATTTCTCAATAGCAATATGGATACAGTAAGATAAAGGAAAAAATATTGTTAAAGTATTGAGAAAAAGCACACTGAGCCTAGAAATTTTATCTAGCCCTGTTTTCATTTAAATGTGAAGGTACAAAAACCATGTTCTTCGGCGTAAAATGTCTCAACTATTTGACTACACAGTGACCATTTGAAAACACCTTTGCTGGAGGAAGTATTCTTATAGGAAGAGAAATTAATCTAGAATGTTGCTGTAAAATACATGGGAGTTGAAAGAAATCAAATAACTTACTGAAGAATTGTATGTAGTAACATATGCAAAAAGAGGAAAACAATGAAAATTCATAACCAGAACTCTGGACAGTATCCGGGGCATAAGGATAGAGGTGGACATTAAAGAAATATAAACAAACACAGGCCTTGTTAGTCAGATGATAGGAATAAGTTTAAGAAATCAATAGCGGTAAGAGGCTGGACGTGGTGGCTCACACCTGTAATCCCAGCACTTTGAGAGGCCGAGTGGGTGGATCAGTTGAGGTCAGGAGTTCAAGACCAGCCCGACCAACATGGTGAAACCCCATCTCTGCTAAAAATACAAAATTAGCCGGGCATGGTGGCACATGCCTGTAATCCCAGCTACTTAGGAGGCTGAGGCAGGAGAATCTCTGGAATCTGGGAGGTAGATTTGTAGTGAGCCGAGATTACACCATTGCACTCCAGCCTAGGCAACAAAAGAGTGAAATTCCATCTCCAAAAAATAAATAAATAAATAAAAAGAAATCATTAGCAGAAAGCAAACATGAGTTCAGGAACTTAAGGATGCACAATGTAAGAACAAAGAACTAAAACTTTTAAACCAACAGAAGAAAAAAAACCTTAGCCTGTAGACAGGAAAGAAAAAAATTACTTTAAATAGCAAATGCAAGATAAGATACCAAAATTCCAAGTGGGTTAAACTGCCTAATATCCATTATTTTATGTAGTCTGTTGGAATCTTATCTCTTTTGAATATGGTTATGTATATTTGACTATGTATGTATGATATGATTAGATTATCACCTCTTAGTCTGTGAAATAGATGTGCATAACCACTTTAAGAATTGATGGATATAACCACTTAGCTTCTGCGTGATCTGTTTAGAAATGATTGAACTATAATAGGGCTTAAATTTTTTTTTAATTTTTTTGCTAGAGGAGCCACTGTTTCCCTTAGAGGACATTTTCCAGTGTAATCACTCCACATAACAGAAAGAAATAATTGGTCCCATACTTTCTGCCATTTAATATTAGCCTGTCATTTGACTGAACCGAGTCTTACTTTCCCATGAACGTACTCAGCTTTGTCTGTCTCCATGCCTGTCTTTATGTAGTGCCCTTGCCTAAAGATTCCCCCTTATATTATGAAAATTCTACTTCCATAGATCATTTCAATTCTTGTCTCCTGGATAGAATCTTTTGGCTGAATACTCCAAAACCCATCAGCTTTTCAACTGCTAGATCCTGTCATTTAACTCTTAGCTATTTATATGCTGTCTTGTTTTGTTCACTGTTGTTTTCCCATGTAAACCTTATCTCTCCAAATGTATAATCTGTTGTATGTGGACATGATAGCTTTCTCAGATCATTAATGCTGAAGCATATAGTGTATATTCAAAGCATATTTACTAAAGAAGGCATAAAAATTAAGGGATTAGCTTAAATTCAAATTATGCCACACTTCCCTTTTTTTACACACACACAAAAAAAAGCCAAAATATTTTGGTAGAGAAATTCTGTTCTTAGCCACATAATACTATTATATATTATTATTTACTGTTTTAATTTTGGTAGTTTCAGAAACCAAACTAATATATTTTGTCTAGTTTTAGCACTTCAGAAATTTCTAAAGTAAAATTAATCATCTCTTTTTCCCTACCCATTTCGTTTTAGTCTCAACTCCTAATGTAACTAATGCTAATCATTTAGGATGAATTATTCTATACGTTTTCCTTAATTAAAGAAAACATAGACTGGGTGCAGTGGCTCGTGCCTATTATCCCAGCATTTTGGTAGGCCACAGAGGGAGGCTTGCTTGAGGCCAGGAGTTTCAGACCAGCCACAACAACCTAGTGCAACTTGATTTCCACAAAATATTTTAAGATTAGCCTCATGTAGTAGTGTGTGCCTGTAGTTCTGGCTACTTGAAAAGCTGAGGAGGGAGGATGACTTGAGCCCAGGAGTTTGAGGCCGCAATGAGCTTTGAGCTATGGTTGTACCACTGTGCTCCAGCCTGGGTGACAGAGTGAGACACTGTTGAAAAAAAAAAAGTGAATATATATATATATGGAGAGAATATTATTTTACTTTTTATAAAAACGAGATCATACTGTATAACATTTTAATTTTTTTACTTATAGTTTGGGGTCCTTCTAGATCAGAACATCAAGATCTTTTTAATAGATGCATATTATTTCATTGGTATTAACAGATAGATATATTATAATTTGTTCAACCTTTCTTTTGATGAAGTATTCAGAGCTTTTCTTTCTCCAGAGTGTACAACCTTATACATTTATGTTATTGATATACTTCTGTTAGAGGCATTCTCAAAAGTTCTATCTTTGGGTCTATGTGACAACACTTCTTTTTAACTTCAGCTGCAAAGAGGCTGACGACTCCTCATGCTCCTCAGTCCATGACACAGTCACCCTTGGTCTGTGCAGCCCCATCCCTGCTCTCACTCACCTCGCTTAAAGACTCAGTTCTGATGTGTCTTTTTTTTTTTAATTGCATTTTAGGTTTTGGGGTACATGTGAAGAACATGCAAAATTGTTGCATAGGTACACACATGGCAGTGTGATTTGCTGCCTTCCTCCCCTTCACCTATATCTGGCATTTCTCCCTGTGCTATCTCTCCCCAACTCCCCACCCCCCGTCCCTCCCCTATTTCCCCCCAACAGACCCCAGTGTGTGGTGTTCCCCTTCCTGTCTCCATGTGTTCTCATTGTTCAACACCCGCCTATGAGTGAGAACATGTGGTGTTTGATTTTCTGTTCTTGTGTCAGTTTGCTGAGAATGGTGGTTTCCAGGTTCATCCATGTCCCTACAAAGGATACGAACTTATCGTTTTTGATGGCTGCATTATATTCCATGGTGTATATGTGCCACAGTTTCCCTGTCCAGTCTATCATCAATGGGCATTTGGGTTGGTTCCAGGTCTTTGCTATTGTAAACTGTGCTGCAGTGAATATTCGTATGCATGTGTCCTTATAGTAGAAAGATTTGTAAACCTTTGGATATATACCCAGTAATGGGATTGCTGGGTCAAATGGAATTTCTATTTCTAGGTCCTTGAGGAATTGCCACACTATCTTCCACAATGGTTGAACTAATTCACACTCCCACCAACAGTGTAAAAGTGTTCCTATTTCTCTGCATCTTCTCCAGCATCTGTTGTCTCCAGATTTTTTAATGATCGCCATTTGAACTGGCGTGAGATGGTATCTCAATGTGGTTTTGATTTGCATTTCTCTAATGACCAGTGATGATGAGCATTTTTTCATATGTTTGTTGGCCTCATGTATGTCTTCTTTTGTAAAGTGTCTGTTCATATCTTTTGCCCACTTTTGAATGGGCTTGTTTGTTTTTTTCTTGTAAATCTGTTTTAGTTCTTTGTAAATTCTGGATATCAGCCCTTTGTCAGATGGGTAAACTGCAAAAATTTTTTCCCATTCTGTTGGTTGCCGATTCACTCTAATGACTGTTTCTTTTGCCGTGCAGAAGCTGTGGAGTTTGATTAGGTCCCATTTGTCTATTTTGGCTTTTGTTGCCAATGCTTTTGGTGTTTTGGTCATGAAGTCCTTGCCTACACCTATGTCCTGAATGGTTTTGCCTAGATTTTCTTCTAGGTTTTTACGGTGTTGGGTCTTATGTTTAAGTCTTTAATCCATCTGGAGTTAATTTTAGTGTAAGGTGTCAGGAAGGGGTCCAGTTTCTGCTTTCTGCACATGGCTAGCCAGTTTTCCCAACACCATTTATTAAACAGGGAATCCTTTCCACATTGCTTGTCTTTGTCAGGTTTGTCAAAGATCAGATGGTTGTAGATAAGTTGTGTTGCCTCCGAGGCCTCTGTTCTGTCTTAATGTGTTTCCCTGATTATGTGTGTATCCTTAGAATATATATATTTAATTTTTTAATAAATGCTACCAAAGTAACTTTCCAAATGGTTGGGGTAATTTAGAGAGTAATTATTTCACCAC